GCCCTGGGGGTAAGCAGATAAACATCAAATTTTCATTTTTGGGTGAACTATCCTTTTAAGCTAAGGAAATTCATTAATAGAGATACTGAATTTATAATCCATATTGTTAGAATTTCTGAGTTATTACTTGGGTTTATGCATAAACATACCCAGTCACAAAAAAACATTAACACAATGATGGCATGACTTTGTCAATTGTCATTTATTAATATATTCAGCTAATGCTTGTTGTTTAGAGCACTGACATTTTTGCTACAATTTCACATCAATAAAAAAGCACCTAATTCACATAACATGCTGTTGTTGTAAAACACATTTATTTTAAATAAATATATAAAAAATAATATAAATATATAAAATAATAATATAATAATACTGATATTATGTAAATATACTAATATTAATTAGCCGAAGAACCATTTTTCTTAAGAGTGTACAAACTCTCCATGTCCCTCTATGTTAAACACTCGATCAAAATTGCAGTATGTCTGACTTCTTTACTGATAGGCAACAGTGTTTTGTGGGTTGATTTTTGTGGGTCTTTTTTTTCCCTCATGCACAATGGAAGTGCAACAGACAAGACTCTGGTCTTTCTGTCTCTGTCACTCTTAATTGCCTTCTTTCGGAGAGTGTCCTGTTTTGTTGAGAACAGTATTTAGTTCATTAATGAGGTTTTGTGGCAACTGCACACTTCTGATGGGCACCACAGCTTTCTTTTGTGATAGCTGGGTGAGAGCGCTGGGGTCTTGTTGAATTGATAGTCTACAGGAAGACTGGAGTGTCTCATCAATCACCATTTCAAGCCCGGAGACACACAGAGTTCCTTCACCGCTAGCCAATTTATGCATCGAGTCCTGTTGGTTGAACTCATCTGTGGTCATTTGGTTTTGTCTATTTGAACCTGTACTGACGACTGACTTCCCTTTAGCCTGCAGAACGGGGGAAAAGTACATGGACATTCATGGCTATAGGACTCAAAGGCTGTTTTGTATGCAGTGAATAAACTTGATGCCCAATTCCAACAACCATTTTTTTCTGGACAAGTTGACATGGATATGGTTCAACTGACAACAAAGATGGAGATCAGGGCTGATCTACTGCACACTGTGCTGGTCTTTAGAGGTGTTCAATGAAGCAAAACATTCATTAAACAACATTAAGTGAAAAGGCTTTTTGAGTATTTGTGACATTTATGTGAGTGTAGAGCAGGTTTAGTGCTGACCTCTCTCTGGTGTTTGGCTGTGCTGGTCTTTGCCGTGCTGTAAGTGGATGTTCTTCCTCTGCTCAGGTTATAAGGTAACGAAGTGCTCTGCTTTAGGTCCCTAGGCCATAAGTCACCGTCATGCTGCAAACACATTTACGTTTAAGCTTTTGCAAGATGCTTTTATCTTAATCAACTTACATCGCATTGAAGGTTTATTTTTTCAGTCTATGCAGGAATCATTCCCATGATCTTGTTGATGCTAGAGCCATGCTTTACTGTTTGAGCTAAAAGGAACAGAGAGGGCAATTTCTAGCCAATCAAATATTTTACAGGTGAACATTACTAAAGAAAACCTTAAGGAAACACCAATGTCTGCAAGACAGCAAAAGTACAGAAACTTGTCATAATGTCTACACTACTGTACAAAAGTTTTAAAGAAATTAATACTTTTATTAAGATCGGTACATTAATAATCACTGATCGAAAGTGACACTAAAGACATTTATAATGTTACAAAAGATTTCCATTTCAAATAAATGTAATTTCAAATTTCTATCCTTCAAAGAATCCTGACAAAAAAGTATAATGGTTTCCAAATAAATATTTAGCAGCACAATTGTTTTCAACACAGATAATAATATGAAATGTTTATTGTGCACCAAATCAACATATTAGAATAATTTCTGAAGGATCATGTGACACTGAAGACTGGAGTAATAGCTCCTAAAAAATCAGCTTTGCCATCAGGAATAAATTACATTTTAAAATATATAAAATCATCACTTCCTTTTGAATGCTAAGCATTCTACATTTTCGAACTCATAAAAGTTACAAGTTTACAAAAACAACACATTAAATGCTGAAATTATTTAGTAAACTCCCTTATAATAATGTTTGAGGAATATCATTACAGCACTGCCTTACAAGCACTGCAATTATATTGACTAGGACTTTATGAATTTTCATGACATTTCTAGGCCTGGAAGTCAGACTTTTGCCTGATATTTTCCATGACAGTGGGAACTTTGGAAGAAATAGTTTCATACAAAAAAATGTCCCTTACTTTTTAAGCTTCAAGTCTCAGGCAAGTGAAATACTTAAAACTTCCATATATTCTCGAGCAGCTCTAACTAACACTAACTTTTTGACCTTAATGATGTAGGAACAAATGTGCTGGAACATTTTGGACCTATTCCTGAGCTGAACACTCACTAAGACAGCTCATACTTTCCACTGTGACTTTATGGCCTTTGAGTTGTTCTTCACGTCTACATCCTCATTTTAGCAGCAGAAGGTCTCATAAGCTTGTTCCTTTACCTACCCAGCACTGCTCGCCAGTTTCTATGGAAACAATGCCAAGCAGAATGCTGGGTGAAATGGAAGCAGCGAGAGGTTAGAAGAGTCTCAGTGCACAGAGTATCAATTAATCTACCTGCATGGATTATTACTTTTAGTATATGTAATAATGAGACACAAAAATATGTACACTGAATTATGGTGCATGCCCTCCACTCCTCGTTTACTCTGCCGCTTGAGAATCCTTGCAGCACCTCTCTGCGCCCAACTTCCCAGAATAGGAAAAAAAATAAAGAACCGAAGTGCTTTATTTTTCTTCCTCGTATCAGTTCAAAGCCACAAAAGCAAGAATAAACCTCGACAATGAAAATAGTGAACCTGTGGGAAGTAGATAAGGATGAGGCATTAAGACCGTAGAGAGGGGAAGGAAAAATCTGAGAGGGTTAGAGGATTGGAGGAGGGATCTAAACAATGGCTAAATCATCTACTACAGTACTTCTATGCCATCTCTTGCCTTTGGTTTAAGTTATTAGCAGTGAATCAGCTGAGTCAGGCCCTCTGTGTGTAGTAGCGCCCGGCTTGTCTAAAGAAGAGTCTGCTGGAACCAGTGTTATTGAGGCAGTCTGCATGACCTTATTTCAGCTAAAAGACCTTTCCGGATAATGTGATTTATACTCATGAAGGATGACCTTGAAAACATTCCCTCAATTCTTAGGGCTAGTTTTCATCTAACTTTCTCTGGGAAAAAGGAAATGCAGCGTTAAAATAAAGGACTATAGGGGTATCATGGCCCTTATGAAAGAGAAGTACACTTGTGAATACTAATAATAGCAATGACGGAAATAATAGAACACTGAGAGACTTACGTGTGAAAAGAATGTGATGTTTTTGGATATTTAACAGCATGTTAATTGCAATTAGATTAAAATTTAATACATTTTAAATTTACATGAAATGCAGCTGAACTTTAGAGTGCTATTTTGACCCAGTTATGGACATCTTTATGTAATTTCATAATTACCCCTGTTTTTTTTTTAAATATGGTTATGGTTAAGTTTAATGCCAAGTGTACTGGCAGTCATTGATGGAAAACTAATATAACACCAAATATACTTCTATTGAAACATGTATGTGTTGTATTTAGTTATACTTGTAATTACACATTTGTAATAATGAATCTGCAATTTAGGGTAACACTTTATTTTAAGGTGTCCTTGTTACACGTTACATGTACTTACTATTATAATAACAATTAATTATGCATAATTACATGCACGTAACCCTACGCCAAACCCTAATCCTAACCATATAGTAAGTACACATAGTTAATTAATATTACTCAGTACTTAAATGTATAATTACACTGTAGCAAGGACACCTTAAAATAAAGTGTAACCCAATTTAGTCCATTTGAAATATATTAACTTTACATGTAATACTGAATAACACACTACAGTTATAATATAATCAAGTACTTTACATATTCTTTAGAAAGTTAGTCAACTCATTAAAATAAGTGTACTTCATTAAAGCCGGATAAAAAAAGATTATTAAGACCATGATTTAAATGTAATGTAACACCTAAGTGGCCTTTATTGTATTAACATTATCTGCAAGTGCATTTAAAAAAAAAATTTACCTTTAAAATTTGAAGTACACTACAAGTACACATTTGATTCACTTTTTCACAATGAAGTACTGCAATGGTATTAGATTGTAATACAATGTTCTCCATATTCATGTACTATGGTATTTACAAGGTACTTTCTACTCCAAAAAGAAAAAAAAATAAACAGTAATATCATGGAACTTTATGGATTTATGAAAAATGCCTAATTTTTGGTTGCTAAATTCGAAATAAGCGGCAAGTTCCAGATGTGGAACAGTATCCATCTAAAAATGACATTGTTACAAATGGGCATGTAAAGAGATTTTTTATAATGTTAACTGCACATTATGAGCACTTAGAAAATGAAGAAAGCTCACCTTCACTCTGATAATGGAGGTGACCCAGTCCTGCTGAGAATCATTCCCTTTACAGCAGAAATACCTTTTTCAGGGAGGACGCAAAGGCATATATTCAGAACACTGAAGCACTCAAAGTGTCCTATTTGAAATTCAGTCATGCAGTTCTGTAGCTCAAGTACTACGCTGTGCAAAACCTTAGCAAGTTTCGGGCTGAAATATTTAAAAAAATAATCTATTATTCAGTTCCAGATCAAAGTTTTTCCTGAAAACCGTGCTGAAGGGTGTGATTGACTGTGCAATTAGGAACAGAGTTAATTGCACTTACCACTGCTGCTTTTCAGTATAAACAGTAAATCCCCAACTGTTGAAAATTAGTCAGAAAAACAACAACAAAAAGTATTCCATTAGTTTCACAGCATTTCATTCAGGTTCTCCACATCAATGTACAGCAATATTCAGCTTTTCCTGATGGCTGCACACACAGTCTGACCCTTGAGAACCTCTAAAGTGCTAAATTCAGCTTAACTTTCATAGCTAGCTGACGAGCATAATAGAAAAGATTAACTATTTTGTTTGTGTAAGATAATTTTATCATCTTTACATGTCCTGCTATACTTTACACTCTTAGAGATGTAACTTTTTTGCAAACCTAGTTCTCGTTAGTTTATTCAATTCATGGTTCATACTCTAAACCTCGCACATAGCACTTTAATCACTGTGGCTGACAAACAGCTGTTATTTTCACACAACTGGTCACGTAATGAGCATCAAAATATGTTTCTTCAACCTCTGGCACTTTGTCCCTGGTGTTTTTTTTTTACTATTATTTATTTTTTTTATTGCCTTTTATATATTCATTTTATGCCTTTACTCTGAAAACCCAGTACAAAAATATGATTTTAAAACTTTATCTCATGAAACAATAAAATAAACCATTTAGTACATATTAATATAACCATTTATATTATTTATATAAATGATTACAACGGTCTCCCACTTTTGACATCACAACACAACAAATACTTTTGCTTATATAAGTTTCATCAAAAGTTATTGTACCTGTGTACCAAGGAGACAACAATAGTTGCGTTTCCATTACCCTTCAAACTGTGCAAACTGAAATTGTGAATTGAAAATACGCCTAATGGAAACACACCAATTTCGCAAAAAAAACACGTATATCGCTGGCATGAGGTGTATTTTCAGGCAATTCGAAAAAGGAATGTTTCCCAAAACTGCAATTTTTTCACATTTACAGGTCACCTGTTGTATGTAAAAATCACATGATCATTCTTTAAATATGGTGCAGTTTGTTTGGAAAGAAGATGGGACAGATTTCTTTATTAAACTCATAAAAGCCAAAAGAATTACGGGAATACTGGATTCTAAACAACAAAGAAATTCCACAATTTATCGGAGCAGATATGAGAAACAAAGGCTTCCAGAAACCATGGCAAATATTACGCTCCATATGGAAAGCTCTCAAACAGAAGTATATTTAAGAAAAGAGAAACCTCTGCAAAAGTGGTGCTTGTGGGAAATGGAAAATAAAATTCAAGTATTTCAACCTAATGGATGAAATGCTTGGCCAGAGACAAATTGTCACATCGATGAGCACAGTTCTGAACAGTATAGGTAGAGCAGCGTTAGAGCAAAAAATTACGTTTTAGTCGCACAACATTGGTTGATGGAAACGCGCCATTTTCGCAATAGTTTTTTATCGACATTTAGAAAATATCGCAAAAGTTTTGCACAAATCTGTAACGGAAACCAGGCTTGTGTCAGTGAAGAGCTTGACTGACATGAAATATGATAATTCAAGGAAAATATTACATGTGATAAATTCACATCACATTTTGTTTTGTTTTCCAATTAAG